TTGTCTTGATGCCAAGACACTCTAAGCCGCCAAACTCTAAGCCTTCAGCCTCCGATCCTGAACCTAAGCCCCAGGCCTTAAACGCAGACCCCTGGCACCTTAAACAAAACAAACGGGACCCCTAGACATCGAGTCCCACACCCGGAAGTCTAAACCCAAAGCCTAACCCCTAAGGCCCTAAACCCTAAACCCTAGACACAAACCCCTGGTTCTCTCCGGGGGGATTCAGAGTTTCCAGCCTTTCATGCCTGAAGCCCTAAACCCTAACCCCGAAACCCGAAACCCTAAACCCTAAACCCTGAAGGGTTGGATGAAGATTGCACTTCATCTGTTTCGGGGCTTCAGGAGGTTCAGGATGCCGCGTCGAAATTCAGGACGGCAAACGGTTTAGGGTTTAGGGTTTAGGGATTTAGGGTTTAGGTGAAGGCGTCGCGGTATCGATTGGTTTAGGGTTTAGGGCTTGGAGTTTAGGACACCATCGACCGTGTCGTCCTTTCTACTCAGCTGGCGGGCCGTGGCCGTCAAGCCAAACTTTGGCGCAAACCCATGTCGGCCCAGACCCAGACCCTCCACCGACGGCTTAAGAGTGTAGGGCTGGTGAGGTAGGATCCGAAGCTGTAAACTCCGCCGCGTGCCAGACATCGCCCGGTGGACAGAGAACAGCCTAAGCTAGACGGGCAATAATGTCACCTTATGGATATTACGCTCCGAAACACCCCTACGTTAAGAAACCGAAACCCTCAACCCAGGCTAAACCCGAAGCCTTAACCAAGGAACCCCCGATCCTTAATTTATGATGCCGGAGTTGAGGTGTAGGACTTCGGGCAGGATCTCAGGTCTAGACTAGTATTTCTAGGATCTAAGGATTTGGGGTTTCGGGCTTTGAGCTCCACCGGATGCCCTGGTTGTTGGCCAGGATTTTCGGGACCGAGGAGGATCGCGTGAACTGTCCGTTCTACTTCAAGATCGGGGCATGCCGAAATGGTGGGAGTCTCAGGCAGTCATCATAGTCGTCATCGTCGTCATCTTCGTCATCATGATCATGATGATGATGAGCCATCATCATCATCATTATCATCGCCATCCTCATCCTCATGATGATCATCATCATCGCCACCATCGTGGTCGTCACCATCATCACCATCATCACCATCTGCATCTCCATCTCCATCTTCATCTTCATCCTCGTCCTCAGCCTCATCTTCATATTCATCGTCATCATCGTCGTCGTCATCATCATCATCATCATAAAATCATCATCATCGTCATCATCGTCGGCGTCGTCATCATCATCGTCATCATCATCATTACCATCATCATCGTCATCGTCACCTTCTCCGGCCATCATCATGATGGTCACCATCTTCATAGACACCTCTGTTCATGATCAAGAGCTCCAGTTTTCCAGGCACCAAGACCCTGAGGATGCCAGGTTCGAGGCCAAGAAATTCCCCACCAGACTCCACAGCTAGTTCTATTTACCTTGTACCAGAACGTATCATATTTTCGTATATTATACCGCATTATACTATACTGTATCATAGTACAGCATATTACTTCCCCCAACCGGCGCCTGAACAACCAAGAAAACTCGAATCATTGCGAGATATCTGCGCTTGGTTTCAGGCAAAGATTGGGTCTTGCAGAAGTTCGCACAGGTGTGTTCTTTAGGGTTTGGGTTTAAGAATTTACGGCTTCAAAGTCGGCCTAGTGTTTCTTCGGGGGCTTTTGCCCGTTGGGTTCCGGGTGAGCTTCAGGCTATTGGGCTTGGGAGCTTTTCCTTGGCCGGATTTGAAACTTTGAAACCACTCAGACGCACCGAGCCCAAAGCCCTAAACCCTAAACCCTAAACGCTAAGCCCTAAGCCCTGAGCCCTAAACCCTAAAGCCTAAACCGTAAACCCTAAAAGCCCTAGGCCCTAAACCCTAAACCCGAGCCCAGAACCTTAACCTCTAAGCGCAAGACCAGCAGAGCCTGAGGCGATCAGTGCAATCGACTGCACAACCGTCCGACGATGAGTCAGACGCTGCTGCTGTCTCACATGTCCGGGCCCCATCCTCCTTGAGGGGATCCATTAGGGATCTATATGGGATCCATGAGGGTTCGACTAGGGTTCTATGAGGGTTCTATAATGGATCTATAAGGCTTCTATAAGGGATCTATAAGGCTTCTACAAGGGATCTATGAGGGTTCTATAAGGGATGTATGAGGGATCTACAAGGCATCTATGAGAGAGAGATCTATGAGGGCTCTATGAGGGATCTATGAGGGATCTATAAGGGTTTAGGGTTTGGGGTGTCGGGCTCGTCGGGCTCAAGTTCGTTTCTATATTTTAGGGTAACTGAAGTTAGGGTTTAGGGTTTAGGGTTTAGGGTTCAAGTTCGTTTAAGTTCTACCCCATATTAGGGACTTATAACCCCAGTTCTGCGCATGAATCTCCAAGTAGGGTCCTTTTCCACATAGCTCCTCTGCCAAATTACAGCTGCACATGGGGGATCTAAAACCTTGCAGCCTTAAATCTAAGCACGAGACCCCTAAAGCTCAAAAGCCTCAAGAATCCTAACCCCGTATGCCCTAAATCGGTTTAGGGTTTAGGGTTCAGACCGACATAAAGCCTTGAGCCCAACGAACTTTGAGAGCCAGGTACCCTAAACCCTAAACCCTAAACCAGCCAGGTACCCAAACACACCAGAGAGCTTGGCCCTTGCGAATGATGAGCCTTGGGATGACGACATGCGAAGGGCCCAGTGCAGGAATTTCGGGATTTTGCAAGTCTTTTGATCCTTCAAGGGTGCCTTAAAGGTACACCGTAAACCCTAAACCCTGTCCAAGAAGGTAGGGATGTAGCAGGGATTTTTGGTCATGGCTAGGGTGTGAGGACGTCTGGATTCTGGCGTTATGGGTTGCTTCAATGCATACCATGAGAAGGGTAGCTTTATGGGTTCTTTTTAGGGTTTTGGGTTTAGGGTTCCTTTATGGGTTCAACCGGGGTTCCTAGACGTATTTTTTGCATATGGGTTCTCTAAGGGATCTAAAGGATTTCGGGTTTGGGGATATAGGGCTTTAGGGCTTTCGTGATTTCATGATTTAGGGGTCTTGGGTTTCAGGATAAGCCTTGAAGGTTCGGGGTTTAAGTTTTCGGGTTAGAAGGACCTCAGGCTCAGGGTTGAGGGGTTCTATTAAAGGAAGCTGCAGGTGGGGAGTTGAGGGTTTAGGGTTTAGGGTGTAGGGTTTAGGGTATATATAGACCTATAAGGCTCCTATAACGGTAACTACCCACCTGAAAATGTCCTAGATTCGAGTAGCACTCAGAGCACTGTAGGTTTGAAAGTGAGGCAGGGAACACCACTGCAGCTTTTTTCAGTTTAGGCTTAGATTCTGAGGTTTTAGCGTAGGGTTGAGGGCTTCGGGTTTAATCTATGGGCCTTATCAACTAGGATAGGGTCCCTTTAAAACGTTTCTTTCACGCGGCTACTGGTTACTATGGGGTCTTGTGTTGGGGCCTTGGGCATTCGAGTAGGGCCCCGGGCGGGGGGGGGGGCATATGGGGGTTTCCTAAAATAGGGGACCCCAATATAGTACCCTAAATAATAGGATCCCTATTATAAGGACCCCAAAATAAGGTACCCCCTATTTTCGGAACCCCCCATATTAGAGTCTTCTCAGAGTTTTGTGGTGCAGGGCCCGTAACGGGAGATTATTTGTTATTCTTCCGACCTCTAGATGGCCCCAAAATCCCAAACCCTAAACCCTAAACCCTGAACCCTAAACCCTAAACCCTAAACGTAACGAAAATCTGAAGGTATGACCGAGCTCAAGCACATTTGGAGGCTTTCTACGTCGAGGCCGCAACTAGATTTCAGAAGGTTTGAGCCTCCGGTTAGGGTTTAGGGTTTAGGGTTTAGGGTTTAGGGTTTAGGGTTTAGGGTTTAGGGTTTAGGGTTTAGGGATCAGGTGTAGGCTTGAGTTTTGGTCGAACTAGGGCCGTTCAGGGTTCAGGGTAGAGGGGTTTATGATTTGAGAATGTTTGAGATTGCAACAAAGGTTCAGGATGTAAGGGTTTCACATTATGTAGCGGGTTTTCGGTAGTTGTTGTACGGTTCTTACAGTTCCTTAGAAGGTTCAGTTTTTCTTGGTTGGGTTGCTCCCGAGCGCTCTGCTGGACCAACATTTTGAAGCTCAAGCCCCAGACGCAAGTCATAATTGCTATGGCAGTCTGGTTGTAAGACCTATCAGAACTGGGTGGTCTCAAGGTATTGTAACCCCCTAAACCCTAAACCCGAAACGCTTTTTCCCGAAACCCTAAACTCCTTTTCCCTACACCCTAAACCCTAAGCCCCAAACCCCTTTTGCCTAAACCCTAAACCCCTTTTCCCGAA